CTCGGGCGTCTAAAACGACGAACGTTTTAATCACTTTGTGTTCGATGGGTCACGTCAGAGTGCTTGACATATAATTTGGGTCGTGAGCTAAAAAGGTTGCAGAACGCGAATCTAAACAACCCCATTTCTCATAGTTAATCTCCACAACCCAATTTCTCACAGTTAATCTTCACAACCCAATTTCTCATAGTTAATCTCCACAACCCAATTTCTCATAGTTAATCTCCACAACCGAATTTCTCACAGTTAATCTCCACAACCCAATTTCTCACAGTTAATCTCCACAACCCAATTTCTCACAGTTAATCTCCACAACCCAATTTCTCATAGTTAATCTCCACAACCCAATTTCTCATAGTTAATCTCCACAACCCAATTTTTCATAGTTAATCTCCACAACCCAATTTCTTTGATCTTACTTTGATAAGTAGTTTATATTTAAAGCCGTGCTCCAGAGAAAAACAATTTCTTGTGTGTTGTACAAATGACTTCTCTAAGACACGGCTTTCAAATATTCAAAAATCTGTACCTCATTTACCATTCCAGAATTTTTCACTTTTTGTTTTCAATTGTACAACATATCAATTTCACAAAAACTAAAACAAATCATATCTCTTCCGTGGGCTGGGGGAGGTTTAAGATAGGGGTAGTGGTTACGATAGGGGTAGCTTAATGATTGTCAGAGGCGCAATGAGCCTATTATCAGAATAATCCTTTAATCCTTCTGTAATTATGTGAATAAGTGTCTGGCAAATAAGGTGATTGGAGAGGCGATGATATAACTGGTTTTTTTTCGCTCTGCAACTTTCTTTATTGCTGGTAGCTGAATCCACCAACTGATAGACCCAGGATTTTTATTCCACCAGACCACTTAATACCACATGGCACCCTACTCAAAGTTCTAATCCTCCATGATCTCTCAGGCACATCCTGGCTCTGACACTGTGTTTTTGATAAGGAATAGGATGTTGTAATTTCAAGGGTACAGGTGACATAGAAAATGATGAGCATCATAATGTTTGGAAGATGTGTATAAGAGCCAGGTGTAACGTAAAACTTTAAAGAAACATGTTTGCTCATTTTTGATCGAAATATGAGGGTAAATATCTGACTTATATATGTAGATTTGGCTGGGTCGAAAGGTACATTGTTGTATCATTACAGTTATTTTGATTCAAGAGTTGTCCCACACTCCTTTCCTTTAAATAGATGTTTTCCACGTTTTAAACATAATGTCCAACCTTCTAGTTAGATGTGTCGAGTTTTTGGAATGTCTGTAATTACCAAAAAAAGAAAAGAAAATCAACTCACCCCACTCAATTTTCCATACACATCTCACTTCCAATATTGTAGTCAGCTCTCTCATGTTATTACCAAAAGAGAGACACCACTTCGTGTAGGCATAACAAACAGGAAGCTCAAATGAAAATAAAAATGCTATAAATATCTCTTGAAACCAAGAGTGATTCAGCATTGTCATCATAATGATGAGCATTACAAAATCCAAACATTATTATGCTCATCATTTTCTATGTCACCTGTACCCTTGAAATTACAACATCCTATTCCTTATCAAAAACACAGTGTCAGAGCCAGGATGTGCCTGAGAGATCATGGAGGATTAGAACTTTGAGTAGGGTGCCATGTGGTATTAAGTGGTCTGGTGGAATAAAAATCCTGGGTCTATCAGTTGGTGGATTCAGCTACCAGCAATAAAGAAAGTTGCAGAGCGAAAAAAAACCAGTTATATCATCGCCTCTCCAATCACCTTATTTGCCAGACACTTATTCACATAATTACAGAAGGATTAAAGGATTATTCTGATAATAGGCTCATTGCGCCACTGACAATCATTAAGCTACCCCTATCGTAACCACTACCCCTATCTTAAACCTCCCCCAGCCCACCCTACGTCAACTCTTACATCACTGTATAACTTATTTACACAAGCCACCGTGGGGCTGAGGTGGCCGTAACAGTGTGAACTTCATTTTGTTTCATCCCCCCCACGCCCCACCCACCGTCAGAAATTCTCTTGATGCGACCTCGTGTATTATTATTTCGGGAAGTGTGAGGTTAAGAATAAAGTATTTTTGATGATTTTCATATATTTACTTATTTGTAATTTATTTAACCAGGATAAAGTCACATTCAATGAAGAAAGCTTCAACTACACAGAGATAATAAAATTAACTACATTGTTATTACAGTGGTCATGGACACAGATATAAAAAGGTATGACCAAATGATAAAAGCAATTCCTACAATAACTTCTATTTCTCAAAATTAAACACAATGAAAATAATTTGCAAATTATAAGACGCTGCGAGATGTGGCATCTATGCGCAATAATTTGTGTGGCTGTACCCTGTACCATTTGGGTATCTTTGAAAACGTACAGTAATTGAGCAAATAGTTTGGGTTTTATTATGGTCTACTTGTAATGTTTGTTTTATTAATTCCTAATCAAAATGTTAAATGATAAAAGTCCCGATTGTCATGTGCACGTCGTGAAATCAGGAAGTGGTTGAAGATTTCATACGTGCCGTCCTAATCTTAATTAGTGACGCCGGGGATGAGAACTCGTCCAGTACATTTTACACATTCCGTAACAAGGTATTGTGTGTACAAGGTATTGTATGATGTATTTTGTTTTTGATCTGCTGCCATCGTTCGGCGACGAAGTGAACAGAGATATGATACAAACGAAAGTTGTGAGTTATTTCAATTGAAACCAGTGTCAGTATAATCTTAGGTAATAATAATAATAATAATAATAATAATAATAATAATAATAATAATAATAATAAGCATGTGGTTAACATAAGCAAGAATTTAGTCCAATGAAACAGTTTATCATCTTGATACCATCCGACGAAAATTGACCCTACCGGCGTCACCACGGCGTCCCCACCGATCGATCTAACATGACGTTGTTATGTGGGTGTTTTATAGATTATTGAGAATGGTAATATAACTGAAAAATAGATAAAATGACAGTTGAATGACCAACAAATACAACTGAAGACTTTATTCTGAAAATTAATCTCAAAATCGAGTCGCCTTCCCCAGCGTTGTCAGTGACGTCGTATGATTTGTGTGCGATTTTAACCTATTAGGCCCTTAGTAAAAAATATTTGAGCCATGTAGTACTTGCCAATCAACCCAGAAACCCGATAGTTTGTTGATTGGTAATTAGTAGCGTCCCTTTGCTGCCAAAAATAGTTTTTGGCAGTTGCGTCCCCGGTGACATCGTGAGGGCATGGTGAAGGTTGGTTACGATTTGGTGGCACATCGATTGAGTATGTTCATTCATCTGGCAATGTAAGTCAGTAGCGTACCTAGATGTCATGAAAATTGGAGGGGGTGATGAGGGGCGCGAAGGTGATGAGAGTGCTCGATGATCAGTTGAGGGGCGCTAATTCGGCGCTAAAATAAGGTGATTTTCAATTGATTTTTTACTACTTGACCGTGATTTGAAACCAGTGTCAGTATAATCTTATTTAAGCAAGTGGTTAGCATAAGCAAGAATCTAGTCCAATGAAACTGTTTATTATCTTGATACCTTCCGACGAAAATGTACCCTACCGTCACCACGGCGTCTCCACCGATCAATCTAACGTCACGTTGTTATGTGGGTGTTTTATAGATTATTGAGAACGGTAATATCACCGAAAAAATAGATCAAATGACAGTTGAATAACCAACAAAGACAACTGAATACAATAGTTCGTCATTAGAAGTTATTTAGTATAACTGTATTTGGAAAATTAATCTCAAAATCGAGTTGCCGCGTCTCCGGCGTTGTCAGTGACGTATGATTTGTGTGCGATTTTTACCAATTACCCGCAAGTAAAAAGTAGTTGAGCCATGTAGTACCTTGCAAATCAACCCAGAAACCTGGTAGTTTGTTGATTGCTTATTGGTAGCGTCCCTTCGCTGCTAAAAATAGTTTTTGGCAGTTGCGTCCCCGGTGACATCGTGAGGGCATGGTGAAGGCTGGTTATGATTCCCGTACGATTACGGAAAATTAATCTCAAAATTGAGTTGACGTCCCCGGCGTTGCCAGCGTCCCTTCGCTGTCAAAAATAGTTTTTTGGCAGTTGCGTGGCGAGGGCATGGTGGATGCTGGTTACGATTTGGTGTCACATCGATTGAGTATTTTCATTCATCTGGCCATGTATGTCAGTGGCGTATCTAGATGTCTTGAAATGGATGATGATAGGGGGTGCATAGGTGAAGTGAGGGGGCACGATGATAAGTTGAGGGGCGCTAATTCGCAAAATTAGGTGATTTTAGGTGATTTTTAACAGCCAGCGAATTATCATCAAAATAAAAGAAAACAAATATGGTTCTTCGTTTTTGGGTCTTCGGTCTTTGTTTTATAGTTTATAGACAACCCTACCTAACTAGCTACAATGTGTTGTTTTAACGTTTAAAGTCCAAAAATCGTCACCTACTACTGTAGCCTACATTGGAAAAAAAAATAATGTGGGTCTTGCGTTCAACAAGCGTTCATTCTTGTGGAACTTCCAATAGTCTAATCTGGTAGATTTCGGTAAGGCTAAAACTCACTGATATCAATATTAATTTCAGTGGCACATTCACCTCAGCCCAGCATGATTTTAGAAAATTTTCTCAATAGACACCTCTTGATGCACTCAGACAAGACATACTCATAGAAAATAATTAACTGTTTGCCTATGGGTACCGTGTTTTCCAATGTGGGTGGGGTCTATTCGCTAGACCCCTTACTTGCGTCACCACTAATTTAATCAGTTAAACTCCTAATTGTTTGCAGCTTTCTCTGTTGATATTAAGCAATGTTAGGCCTATTTGTTTCGGTAGGCTTTGTTGTGACAAATACATTCTTCATTTTCTCTCTCCCTCTCTTCAACCCTATTTTCTTTCTCTTTCTTCCTTTCGTCCTCTCTTTTTTAATTAGACGAGTGCACGGAGTCATCAATTACAATTAATATTTTTATTATACCAAACGATAAATGACAACAGCTACTATAACAATAGTAATAATATATATGAAACTATATAGGCTATACATCAACACTTCTGTAGGCCACATTTTCCTTTCGCAGCGTATCTATAGTAAAATTTATTTCACATTGCATCAGGTATCGACAAGTCTATTTTTAGTAATATTACTCACAGTAATTGAGTGGAAAATTTTGCTTTTGCGTAAGGGGTAGGAAGGCCTACTCATTCTGAGATCCTTTAATTATGACTCTTTTATCATTACAATCAAATTTTCTTGGTGGTCCGGGTCATTATTGGTCCGGCCTTGATGAAAATGACTACATCTCCTATCATAATGTACAATTGTTTGGCCAAGTCGATAATATTAAGCGCATTTTGTTATATCCTGAATTCTCTATGTTGCACTGATCTTGTCACAATTTGTTGACGTAATTTCCTGGCTTCTTGTTGACCTTTCAACTCTGGATTAACAAGTCAACCATCCGTTTTCTGCTCGTCAAGCTAAGGTGTAATCAATCTGTGAATGTAATATGAATCACGTGACATAGTTTCCTCCACAAACGGAAAGATTTTAGATCATTGTTGTCCATATAAGGCGAAGGACGGGTTCATATAAGCTGGGGCATCATTCTGCAAAAGCAAGGGGGAAATTTCATGGCGTACAATAAGGATGGGTTGGATATTATTAGCATTTTTTTTTTTTGAAATTATCATAAAGGTGGAGATGCATGTAGTATTGTAATCCTTCGAATAATCGGTTCTAAATAAATGCAAACTGGCAGGTTTGTATTCAAGATAATTTTGAAAGACGGGACAGGGATAATGAAACGCAATTTTCAAAGATTACAAGCTGGTCATGGAATAAAAGCAGTAGCAGTAGCAACAACAACACAGAAGCAACACATCATAATCAATAGCAGCATCTTTAACTTATTATTATCTTATTATAATTATTACATTTTATTAGATTATCATCGTTGCCACTACTAACATAATAATTATTATATTATTGTTTGAAAGTTTACATGGTGAAGTAACAATATTAAATGCTTGCTCTTTACTACGACCATCATCAAAGTGTGCCGCAAGCAATCTTTAATATTATTAGGCGAATAAATTATAAAATAATATAAACACTCTCACATCCACATTCTTCTCCTTCAATTCAAATGTAGGCCTACATAAATACAGAACAACAATATTATTTACGACTCATGCACTACACTGAAACTTACCGTAGGAATAGTAGGTGGAACTGGAAATGTGGGAGGCGTGATGGTGGCTCGAGGCAGACGCATTATAGGAAATGAGAGCATCTCGTCAACGGGATACGAGTGTCCATCTGAGTTCTCAAAGAAACACCGTAAAACACTCACGCACTGTGATTAGTGGATGAAAATTTAGAAGACGAAATCAGTAACAGGAATTATGCATTTTTTTATGATAATATTATAATGAATCTCCTTAATCATTCTTTATTCATTAAAATTGTTAAAAAGCAAGTTGACATTCATTCTAGGTCCACGTTTGGAACTAAAAACGAGGCAGGACAAAGAAGTTTAGGTTAAAACATACAACGACAGAAAAAAGCGACAAATAAAGAGAGGTTCGTCTAGTTATTCCAAAAAAAAATTAGAATTACCCCAGCTTTGATTAATTTTGGCGTTCCATATTGTATTATTACATGCCAGACTCCTATTACATAAGGATTTTTTTTTCTAATTTCTAAAATGAAATGAATTTAACTTAAACATTGATTATGGCGCGTGATAAGAACATTGGGTAGGATATTTCCCCCTGCCGTTTAGTATCCTGCCAGACCTGCATAGATATATAATGGTATAACAAAAACCTTTGTAATAATTCGACCATACTGTTGGATCTGCACTGATTTAATATTTAAGAACGACGAATAAATTATCTTTATATTATAACGGCCTAATATTAAAATATTAAATAAATGATAACATCGAAAGCAAAATATTAATAATACTATTAATACCATTGGTTACATTTCATGGGCTTGTAATTGGGTTAGTGTATGTTGATCAGGCCACCTAACCGTTGGTGCAACATCACATCGGCTTGATGTTTCTGTCCTAACATTATTTTTTAGTTTCTTTTTCTTCCTTAAAAATATTAAGTTCATTTTAGTTTCCGCATTTCTGTTTTAATATTCATCATAATCATCATTATCAAAAACAACATCATCATCATCACTATCATCATTATCTTCATCATAATCATCTAGTAGTAGTTGCAGGATAGTTTTATTGTAGTTACTTACCAAATAGGCTGCAACTGAAGCGCCTAATATAAAGCCTCCTATGACGTCACTCCAGTGATTCCTGTACGACGAAACGCGTGAAGCGCATAACAGCAACGCAACTGAAACGAGACCGCATCCGAAAATAGGCGAAAGAAGACGAGTACACCGTATTCTGCCAACCGTGCCCAGATAAATCTAAAAAACGAATCTCATTAATTGGTTAAAGTATTCCTGCTCAAAGACTGTCAGATCTGCTAACGGGAAGACAGGTAATGGATCTAAGAATTCTAAAAAAAAAAGCCTGCACCAAGAAGGGACTAAATACGGAGGGTCTAGAGACTACCTCAGACCCACCGCCCTAGTTGGAGATAAATACGAAATTTTTATAAAATATGACACTCTTATATGACTGAAAATGCCACTTTAAGACTTTTGTTTTCCACATTTTTATTTAAAAAAGTAGTAGGGGTGGAGTTGTCGGCTTCGCCCTTCCCCTTGAATCCGGCAGAGGGATGTATGGTGGATATATCTATAGATGGAAAGAAGGATGAACGGACTGACAACATAAATACTGTGACTAAGACAAAATGACACTCTGCTGCCACCATGTTTACTGTAAATTTACAGGTTTCTTTTTTAAAGGCATATGAACTGCCATCACATTACGTTGAATTTTTTTGGAGAAATTATGGAGACCCAGCAAATACAAAATTATAACATTCTCGAACGCTGTGAACGTCGTGGTTATTGTCAGGAAATAACGTTGATACAACAATGCAACACTGTTTATAAAGTTATTTAGTCAGAAACTAAACTACAAAAACTTTGCATACCGAATTTCAAAATTACGTTATTAATGTAAACCTGTCAAATGGAACAGGATTGGCAAAAGTCATCAGAGAGCGCACTGTCCGAACTGTGCACAACATGAACACTAAGCACTAAAGCCGGGCACTCACTGCGCCCGACAGTCGTCTGCCGACGCGATTCTATGAATACGCAACGCCACGACGCGCACACGCGTAACGGATCGATATATATATATATATACATATATAT